AATGTTACATAGCTGTCAAAAGTATATAAGCATTAGTGGTTGCAGGATGGACACTTGTACTACTTGATGTACGAGTAGCTGCATTCGTAGTATAAGCTGAACTTCCTGTAAAAGGATCAGCAGCGCCTGTATTTTGTGGAAAATTTGATGCTGAAGCTGAACCAGGTACATAACGAGAGCCTCCAGTAAAAGGATCTGAATACCCAGTGCTCCTAGGTACTTCATTTGGATCCCGACTATTTGTAATTATGAAATTAGCTACTATGAAATTAGCTACTTGTTCAGATAAGCTTGAGGTAGATTATTTTTATGAAAAAAGTTTGTGCAACTATCAAGGATCTTCTCCTCTATTGTATGGTAATTTCAATGCAGGTGCTCCATCCTCCACATCCACCAAAATACATAATCATATTCTTTTCCTTCATGACTTTTTTGCTCCTGGGGGTTCAGGATTATCACCAACAGCTCCCATAACATCACCTACTTTTGTCCATTGTCCTTTGTCCCATTGATAGCAGCAAACACCACTTGTTTCCCTTATCAACCGTGTTTGTCCCTCACTTTACCAGGTCTCATTAATGCTTCTGGTCCAGGAAGATCAGTGACCTTAACTCTCCCCAGTGTTGACTAGCAGCTTCTTGTCTGGATTGTACTTGTGCATTGAATACATTTTGTGCATCTTCAGAGGCTTGGCGTTGAGGATCTCTTGAAAATATTCTAACTGCACCATCACTAGAACCTGTTACTAAATCCCCATTACTCAGAAAAGCAACTGCCCATGCTGATTGAGCAGGTAGGTTTATTTCATCTGTATAATTTGTTTCATCACTGGATGAGTCAATTTTCCAAAGTCTAATTTGACCACCTTCTCCGCAGTAGCAAAAACTCCAAAATTGAGATGTACTGATATGCTGTAAATATAATGATTGTGGCCATCATATATTTTTTTGCATTGTCCAGTTGCATCCAAATATCGTATTGTTGCATCATTGGCACAACTTAGTAGAGTACGTTCTGGCAATGGAGCCAAACCTCGTACACAGTCTGTATGGCCTTCAAGAGTTGCCATTCGTTCACCTTTACTTGACCAAACAATTATTGACTTATCCGCTGAACCAGTAACTAACAACCCTTCACCACCTAGGAGGGCAGCAATAGCCCAAACTGCTGCAGAGTGTCCTTTTAGTTCAATATAAGAATAAGTCCCATCATCATGTAATGTCCAAAAGCGACCAGTACTATCCCAACTTCCGCTTAGTAATGTATTTGTTGATGGACCGGCTGCTAAACAACAAACAGCACCTGTGTGACCTTTTAAAACTAGCGCTTCTGTGTATCTTCATTGTAAATACGAATTGTATTGTCATTACCACCACTCACAATTTGTTGATAACTATTCGTATTTTTTCCAAGAAAGGCCACTGCAGAAACATAACTAGAATGGTGAGATAATGAATGAGTATTAACATAGTTAGGGATTTGTTCATCAGGCTCCCAAACTTTTACACTTTTATCACGAGATCCAGAAACAATAACATTCTTTTCATTAATAGCTATTGAACGAACATCAGCCGAATGTCCAAGCAATTCAGTACTAAGCTTAAAGTCTCTTCCATCCATTATATTAACAAATTATTTTAGGTTATAAAATAAATACTAAAATATTAAAACACTATAAGTAGTAGTAAGTAGTTTTATATAAATTCTATCGAAGTCCTAATTAACAGTGGTATTAAATTTCTTATTAAATCACTGAAGTGACTGGCCACTTTTGTTAAAACTGACTCTAAAGTGTCATTTTGTTGAAACATAGAACTAAACGTAACTGTCAAATAATATTGCAAGATGGCACCTACAATTTTATTAAACTTTACACATAAGTAGTTTAATAATTTACCGATAAACAATTTTAAATATTTTATAAACTAATTACAGAAAATCATTACCCCCAGGCAATATATAACATATATTCTTAGGTTTTCATATGGCAACATCCATGTTGCTACTTTAAACCGGCCGGTACGAATGCTTGGCTTAATATTTATAAATATTATATTAAAACATTTTGTTTGATAGTATTTTCGAACTGAAACATGTATGAATGAGAATTTAAAATTAATATAAAAAATCATTTTTTTAATCAAAAAACAATACATAATACAATAACATACAATAATGCCAATACACAAAATGTTCATAGATGTGAATAATATAAAAAATGCAATAAATGAACATAAATAATAAAACAAATTAAATAATTATGACAAATAATAAATACAGAAATAATAAATTATATCTCGTTGTACAAATTATTTAGAAATAATAATAAATCGTATAATCACTTAAGCCTTGGTGTAACGAGCGCGAAATCTTCCTTGAGGATCATATTTGTTCAGGAGATCATTCCAATCTTTGCTTCTATGAGTTTGCAAATGTTTAATGACTTTCTCAGAAACTTGCTTTTGTTTCTCATTGCATTTGGCACAGTTATTTTCCAGAGCATCCGGAAGCATGGCTGTTTGAAAATAAAATCCGTTAAATCAGTTATGATTTAAAATTTAAAGTTCACACTTAATAGAAACATCAGTGATAATATATTAAAAAATGGTAATAACCATTGTTTATGATCATGTAAAGTTAACAAAAGCGATAATAATACTTTCTTTACTATTATTCGATGTTTTCAGTATAATTTTATTAATAATCAATCAGAATGTAGAATGTTTTTATCATACTATGGGCAGGTTTTCAATGGCTCCAGTAAATAAAAATATCTGTATTTTTGAGCACTTTTACAATTGAATTAGACATTTTTTCCAATCTCCTAATATTTTTTTGTTCTAGTTAAGTTTGAATATTGGAAAATCAGTTCAAATAATTAATATTTATATATATACATATATATATAATATATATATATATATATATATATATATATATATATATTATTTTTATATGTATGTTGCAAGTGGAAGTGAATGGCGTGGCCGAAGGTAAGCACAACATGAATTGACAAAGAGATTGTGAAGTAGTGAAAGCAGTTACAACATTGCCATACAATTTTTATCATAACATATTAAATAATATGTTTCATAACATCTCTACTCTCTCCGACTTTTAAGGTATAAGTGTTCATATACCTATATGGAAACGGAAGCATATAACACATATTATTTAAATGAGTTCCGAACAAGAAGACTAAGACTTTTTGGAAGAAATAGTTTTCTGGTTATTTTTCAAAAAGTGCAATATACCTGACAAAAAAATATCGATGAATGGATATAACTAGCATACACCCTACAGCATCAAAAATAAGTAACATAATTTTGGAAACATTGAAGTTTCTACTTGAAATTATATGTTCAGAGCGCAATACAATATATTAACAAATCAAGCTCATCATTTTAATTATGAAAGTATGAAAATTATTCAAATTATTCATTAGTTTACCTTTTAGTTCCCTTCCTTCGGCGGTGCAAGCACCCTTATCCTGCAAGCACTTGATGTAACTGGTCAATATACGTTCATTTCCCAAAATTTTATCGACATCAATATTATCATATTTGGATGTATATCGGTTCTGAGGCAAAGAAGCAACTACTGCTACTAAAGCCACTACTAAACAAATGCACAAATAACTCTTCATAATTAAAACAAATTGTTAACAAGTTCCGAAAATCTTTATTCAAACGATCCCCAGTTTTCGAAATCGAGAACTACCAGACCAGACAATAAGTTCCTGTATTTATATATGTCAGCACTCCCGCGACTCAGCAATATCACATGTGTATGTAAATGCAAGCTCAGCACATACAAATACGAGCTCAAGACCTACTTTGAAATATTTTAAACGTTTTCTCAATATATTTATATTGTTTATTTGAAAATCGACTTGACCGATTATAAGAAATAAACAATAAACGCAACATATTGTAGGTATACTGAAAATTGGTTTAGCAACAAAATTTGTTTACAAACATTGCATACAAAAAGGCCCAATCAGGCATTTTAGTAAAAAAAAAGATCTATAAGCATTTTTAAGCTTCATGTAATATATATTAAGACTATATTATATATTGTATGTATGGATACAATTTTTCGTCCACGTTTTTGGGCGAACGGATCAACCAATTTGAATGGTTCAAAAAACTTTTGATTCCTTTGATTGATAAGGAGATGTGCTGATTAGTTTTGGCAAAGGCAGGTCCAGCGGTTTCGGAGATACAGAGCTAAATATGCAAAAAATAGTAGTTTCTGCGAGAACTAGCGTCTGATTTGAATGATTCAAAAAACTTTCTGCTTGTTTTAACAAAATAATTGCTTTTGAGAAAAAAAATTGTTTCATTTTTTTAAAAAATTTTTTGTATATCGAAAATAATTCAGATTTTAATTGTAATTCTGACTTAAGTTCTAATATACTTTCTAGATAAATATTTTCAACTTTGCAATTCAATTTATATAATTTCTAAAAATATTAGATTAAAACATTTAATATTCCCAGAACATTTCATTACGGTACGGGAAGTTCTAGCAATTTGCCTTAGGGCATGATGCCATATACACCATGCACTTTATATTTGTTTATGACTCAAATTAAGTTTTTTTTCTGTTTTTATAGCATTACTGTTTCTGTTCCTGAATTTTCATTTTCAAAAAAAAACGTTTTTTATAAAATAAACGTGTACAAAAGACTACTGCTACTGAGTCAAGAAATTCTAATGATGTAACAAAATTATTTAATTGATAAAAAAAAAATCTGCAAAACTAAAACAATCCAAATTTTATATTTTCCGTTATATTTTTCGTAATTTTATTAATAATTTTATTGAGAAATAATTGCAACGGTCGTGAAATACATTTTGTTTCATCATATATAAACAAAACTAACTGGCATAGTTAAACGAAAAATATAAACAATATAAATCCGAAGCAATTGTACAACATAAAAGTCATTTTAGAATACAATTCCAAAAATCAATAATAAAAAATTTTCAAACGTACGGTTAAAAAAACTTTTCATAAGAATCCTGAATTATAGAGATATCAGTAGCAATTGCTTTGATAAATTTCTTTAATGAAGATTATTCTGAGTTTAGATTTTGTGTATTCTTGCATTATTTCAAATGAAATAAATATTCTTAGATTTTTATTATTGGTTGTTTTTCATAAATCGCACGGGGAACAATATTGGACAAATATTACCCTGCAGCATATGTTGATTTGAAATTATTATTAATTAAATTTATGTATATATATACCGACTTTGTTTTTTTAATCTACTAACAATAATATATTTTTTTCTATAACAAATAAAATTTCAATTTGTATCTAAAGATGATCTAAAGGCTGGTGAAGTGCATACTATTTTCCTGTGTAGTTTAAAAATATTCCATTGAAAGTTGTTCAACATTCTGAGATATTTTAAATGGCTAATTAATTACAATTTTAAATTGCTTCTTTATTATATTAGTTACTTTTCGTTTTGTAAGCAAGGTTAATTAGACCTTACAGGCAAACAAATCATTACAACAAGAATGTTTACTATAAATAATGAAAATGTATTGGATATGGTGTAATTAATATATATTTTTATAATGGTGTCTTTATTATCATCATTTTAAACCAAAATATTTTCTTATTTCAAAATGTAGATGATCATAAAATGCTGTTTATATAAATTGCCTCAAAGTGGAGTAGATTTTCTTAAAGGGGCATAGTTCGTCTAAATATATTCTCTAATATATATATATATATATATACATATATATATATATATATATATATATATATATATATATTTGTAGTTAGCCTGAACATGTTTGTCCAAACAAATTGTAGATTGTGTAAACATATTGTAGTTTGAAAATGTTTTCGTTTTTTATTATAAGCTGTGTAATTAAAATGAAGTTAATTTTAAAGAATTGAGTTCGCTAAAATCAATCGCATTCTGATTGGAAAATCTACATAATTTATTTTATTTTAAACTATCATTTATATATGAAAAATTGAAAACATATGCTTTCGGAATAAAATTATGTTTATTAAAATTATATATAAATAATGTAATAAGCATTAAAAAGAGATTTATAAAACTAAATATCATACAAAACTTGATTAAGACTCATAAGTCTAATTTATAATGAACAACAGTGCTTAATTTATGTAGCCCAGTAGAGAATGATCGGAAGGGAACTTCTTGCTCGTTTTGAATAACAACAGCCTTAGTCTCACTCCATTCTTTTGGAACATCACAATCTGCTTTAGTGTGAATCAAAACATCAAAAGAGCAAATGCAATCCAACAGTGGTAAATATGAAACAGTTGCTGAAATTTGTAGCATAACATCGCGAATTTCTTTCTGAATAACTTTTAAATCTTTTGTTGCAACTCTATTCATATCATCTACATTTTCTTTATCAGCATTTTCACTCTCAACAACAAAGTCCCACTTTTCTAAAGTCTCATCTGCAGCAACATTTTTGATTATCATTGTAATTTTATTTACTTTATCTTGTGCTAACCAATCTGCAGAACAAAAAATAGGAATTTTAGGTAAAATGAAGTAGCAATTTGAAAAATCCAAACGCTGATCTGTTACCAATAATGACTTTTGTACTAAACTCAAACTTAATTTCTGTTATGAATCTATCAGTTAAATTTGAAATCTGAACTCAATGTTGAGTCTTATTCTGATACAAAACATATCTGAAACGCAAAATGTTGACACTATGATCTTAATACTCACTTTCACACATTCATTAAGTAAAGTATAAATTGATATTAAGATTTTATTGAATGCAAAGATGCACATATCATGTTGCCACCTGATAAACTATACAGTAAGTTTTCCTGGGCTATTTAGAGAGGATCCACGTTATTTATACAGACATAAAATTTTATTTTCTAGGCAAAATATAAATAACATGAATAGTAGTTATATTAAACATTAAAGTTCATGTAGAAAATCAGATGCAAAACATTCCTAAATGCTCAAGTAATATCTAATAGCACTGCCGAACAGTGTCATTTTATTGGTTAAATGAAGTATTCGCTCATGGAATAGGTCTGAACGCTTGCATGATCAATGTTCAAGAAGATAATTGATGAGAACCTTCAATTTGGGCAATCCAGACTTTACCTCATAGTTTTATGAAGTTATAGATTATTATGAGTAATTAAATAGGAGGAATAAATATAACGTAATATTGAATGCATTCAGAAATATCACATCAAATCTAGCATAACAATCATGTTAGATAAATACCTCTGGTTTGACCCATAACAGCCTTAATAAATTCTTGTATTTTTTCATCTTGAGACATTAGAATTGACAAGCCATACTGTTGTACAGGCTTAAAGGACTCAGGTGGATAAATACCTCGTATAAATAAAATATTGTTGATTCCAAATTCTGAAATGAAAATCCAGTTTTCGAAGCAAAACAGCAAAAAAAAATCGTTATAACACTACTATATACATTTACCTAAATACTCTACAATAATTTTAGCTGAGCCTTTCAATGTGATACTATTCTTGGTTTGCTCTTTTGTTTCACAGGCAGCCATAATAAAAATTAATTTACAAAAGTTAAAACTAAGTAAAATCTAAAGAATCTAAAATCGTCCTCTCCAGTTTTAATGACAAACCGCCATTTTTGACAAAATGTATGAAATATATAAGCTGACATAACGGAATGAAGTCAGGAATAAATCACTATTTGACATATATCGATACTATCGATTTAGTGCACTGTATAGGAATCAGTTTGGCGTGTATTACACAGGGTCTTTCGTCTCTGAATGTTGGTACGTCGTTTTTTTGACGTTGTGTGATAACCATATGCTAAAAATTCATGTTCAGTTTGAATTTTTCCGTTTGCATTACTTACAAATAAAAACATTGCACAAAAGTCTTCTTTGGATAAGGTAAATATTCATTATTATATAGAGAATAGTACTTTTACAAAGTTAAGCTTTCTCAAACCAAAGTTAAGTGCAAAATGCAATAAAATTAGATTGTACAAATAATCATGTTAAAAATATATTTGAAAACAATTGCATACATTTGAGATATTTACAAATTATAAAATAATATATACGAACTATGTAACATCATTAAAATAATTCGAGGGAGTAGAAAATGGTTTTCCTGATGTTTTCCTAAAACAAAAACAAACCATTATTATTAAATAATAATATTCCAAATAATATAATCTGAATGATTTATACCTCTGTGTCTTGCTTGCTTTGGTTCTGTTAGTATTAGTAGTAATGGTAGTAACAGTTTTGGCACTTCTATCTGCAACAATTTAAAAAACATTATGTTGTTAAAAGATAATATTGAAATAAAATTTACCTGTATTAAGTCGGCTCTGTAGGGTCATAGGTTTAGGTTCAGTAACATTACTGGGCTTTACTTTTTCTGTAACACATGCAAAAAAATAGATTATATTTTATACCATATTGTCAAATATTATATACCATTTATATCATCAGGAAGAAGAAGGTCCGGGCTCAATTCACCAATGTTTCTACTTGTTGACCCATTTTCTCTTTCTCCTTGTATCACAGTCGACCTTAAAGGGAAGAGTGTACAAGGTTTGAAAGAAGTGCTTGGATTATTTTTAAGAGCTGTATTTCCAAATCTTGCTGTCATATTAGGAATTGTGCTATCACTAGTATCATTTATACGTTTCTGCATCCAATTAATCACTGAAATTATAATATGGACAGAATGAAGGTAGCTTATCTAAATATAATTAGTAACTTGAGAATATAATTATTAATAATGGTAATAATAAAATTACTATACTTACTAGTATTATTATATTCAATAGTTTTCTCTTTATCTAATAACTTTATTTTTAGATCATCAAGTTCCTTAGAATATTCTGTATTTTTATTTGAAATTTCTTTTAAACGCATGGACATATCTTTATTTTCTGCTTGTAACTTATCATTATGACTTTGCAATTGATCAATTACTTTTTCTTGTTCAAATGCAACTGCAGTTCTAAATTTTACCTAAGAAATGATATTATAAGTACAGAAATAATAGTTATTGTAAATATTTGAAAAGTTACTTTTTCTTTAAGTGCCACAATTTGTTCATTTTGTTTTGTTATTATCTCATTAGCTTTGGATAAGTCTTGACTTGTTTGATGCAAAGCTTCACGTTTATTATTAAGTTTTACCATGCAATCGGTTACTTTGCTTTCTGCTTCAGCCTTGAAAGTTTATTGAGTTATTATTAAAGATCTTAGAATGTTTTTATACTTATATCTTACAATATTTTGCTGACACGAGGTGAGTGAAGTATTTGCTTTGCTTAGTTGTTCATCTTTAATAACAAGTGTTCTTTCTAAACCCACTATTCGAGTTTTATGATTTTGAATTTGGGATTCCTTTTCACTTAATTCTCTCTGAAATCTTGATAAATCATTTTGTAAAGAGCTTTGTTGCAATCTTGAAGAATTTAATTCTTGTTCTAAACTCTTGACCCTATTATTGAGATCCCTAGTAAAAAAAAAAAAAAAAAATCATATTTTTAGTAACAAAATATTGGTAAACTTTACCTTATAGTAATTTCTAAACTAAAAATTTTATCAGACTTTGAATTTAATTCTGATTTAAGCATATCAAAATCAGATTTTTTTCTTTGTATTTCAGATTGAAGGTCATTTATTTTCAATTCATATCTATTATCTTGTTCTCTTTGCCATTTATCTCTTTCCTAAACATAAAATAAGCAAAATATTAATATTTAAACAATTCAAAAGTCAGTTAATCTTAGTTCCAACTAAACCTTAGAAACATGTTCTAGTGAAGCTGCTAATTCTTTTTTATGTTCACTTTCCGCCTTTTTCAAATCCATTTTTGTAGACTCCACACATTTTCTTAAATTTTGTAAATCCAAATCACGCTGATCTAATATCCTTCTATAATTGTCTTCTTTCGTTAGTAGGCTTTGATGCGCCTTATTCAAATCATGCTATAAGAAATTAAATATTAGCATGCATTACACTATAAATAAGTTTAGAAAATGATTTAACCCACAGTCAATTGATTTATTTTGTTCGACATGAAATTAATTAAATCACTGTCTGAGGCACGTCCTATTAGCAATTGTAAATGTATTAAACTTTTGAACTCATTTCTCACTACAAATTGTAGGCACCATTCTAACTGCCCTGTTTGTAATAACTGTAATAACCTGTAACCAATATAAAATCTCAATATTGTAGATGTAATAAATATGACTAATTTAACTCATATCTCATATGATTTAAACCTATTAGATTAATTGGTAGTTATAACATATGTTATTCTTACTTACATATCTCCTCGAGCACATTCTTCAAGTAATCTTACTACTTGTTTAGGAAACGATTCAAACGGTACTAAAATGCTTTGCTGTGTTTGAAGAATAGAATAATCTTCTCTATTCAAATCCAACGAAAACATGAATCGTGGATCACGGTCATCAATTACTGATAATTTCTAGCAAATAACATAAATTTTTAATCAATAAGAAAACTAATAATTTTTATATCAATATAAATAATACCATTGTTGTGCAAGTTGTATGGTCAATGCAAATTTTGACATCTTTATGTCCTTCTTCAGTAAGTAATTTATAATAGATCTTATAAATGCCCTCATGAAATTTATTAGTAGAACTGCTATCTTTAAAAAGTCTATCACATAACATGTTTGAAATTTCGATCATTATTATCGCATAACAAGAATATTAATATTATTTAATGATTCATTAAAAATAAACGGTCTGCAACTGTCATTTCGATAACTATGATGCTAAGATTTGATGTAAGACCGCTGTAGCGCTGAATTAATGCCGTTCTTCGCTCACTAGGGACCGAATTCTGCTAAGATTCTGTTCGAATAAAAAAAATATAAATATATGCTGTTCAAATTAACACAATTTTGTTCATTCAATCTAAAAAAAAAAAATAATAAATTGCCATTACCATTTTGAAATATATCTTGCTAAGAATTCGGTGTTAGATTACTGTTCCTGCAATATATATATGGCTCATAAGCCTAGATTAAAAATAATATAAATTTGCATCAATTTTATATTTTAATGTATTTTCTATTTTATATTGTATTCTGCTTCTTTCATTCAAAGTATATTCAAATTATTCAAATACTTATGTACATAGCACATCTTTATGAAAAATGCAATCATTTTAAGTTCGACAAATGTCCCCCATGCGCGCAAACCCTACAGCTTGAACTTTGATAACCTTTAAAATCTTTAAATCAAAACAAATTAAACAAATAAATACAATTATCTAAATTGGATTGTTGTATCAATTTTGTTTAGTTGTTGAATATTGAGATTATATAATATGGATACGGTAATGATGTTTAGATTTGAATAATGATTACATTTGAACACTCCGATATATAATGAATTTTTACAGGAGCACCCTAAAATTTAATCCCGGAACTATGCAAACAATTTTATGATTTAGGCTGGGTAACTGGAACTGGTGGTGGAATCAGCATAAAACTAGGGTCACTATACATATTATGATAATACAAAATATCATAGAAGATTTGTTCCGAAAGTTTCAAAACAATCTAAATCATTGAACAAATCTTTTATGAAACTTTATCTTTTACTCACAACATTTGAGGCACTTATAATTCTTTATGCGCAGGAATGAAATTTACATTGCACCTTCTGGTGTACAAAAGGAAAGAATTAAACCGGATGATCTTTTCATTCAGGATATTAATGGAGTAGACTTACATTTGCCTGATGTCAATAAAAAGTAACGCAATTACCATACATTTTTCATAAAACTATTTATAATATAATCATAAATTTGTATACAGATTAACTAAAAGCCAGTGTACACCATTATTTATGCTTGCATACAGAAACCATAATGCGGGTGCTGTAATACATACACATTCTTCTGCTGCAGTTTTAGTTACATTAAAATGTCCTGGAAAAGTTTTTAAATGCACTCATTTAGAAATGATAAAGGTATTCATTGATAGAATTTCAATTCACCTCACCAAGTTTTATGATCATTTTCATATTTCATATTGTTAAACCAGTTTGTTCATTAAAACAACATACGAAGTTGCTATCGATACAAAATATATTTATTGATTTTAGGGTATTTATAGCTATTCACTAAAAAGAAATTTAAGATATGATGAAGAATTGTGTGTGCCTATTATTGAAAATACACCATTTGAAAAAGATCTTGAAGAATACTTGAAAGCTGCTATGGATGAATATCCTGGTACTTCAGCAGTGTTAGTTAGAAGGCATGGACTATATGTTTGGGGTGATACATGGCAAAGAACAAAAGCAATGTAAGGGAAATATATGTGAAGATATGATTATATATATTAAATAACTAATTGGTACCTTTATACAGGACTGAATGCTATGATTATTTGTTTTCATTGGCCGTAGAGATGTGGAAATTGGGTTTGGAACCAACATCTAAACCCAAGCAATTAACAGAATGTTAATATATTCTTATCTAGTACTTCTCACTTTGAATTCTTGTAAATAAATATTTTGTAATACATGAAACTATATAAACAAATAGATTTTTATAAGATCATGCTAGTAATATACAAATACAGATTGATGCCAATTATTATAGACTTTGTTTAATTACATTGAAAACAGTTGCACAATATCATATTTTACATTAAAATTTTATACTTTATTCTGACAATTATTCATCCATGGACTTTTGTAAGCTTGAGATATAGTAGCTCGCCGTGTTACATCCGGTTCTAATAAGTGTCTATAGCAAAATATATATATTTTTTTAATTTTTAATTCATATTTGTATAATTAACTATTATGGACATATGGACATGAGCTCATGAGCAAAATGAACATGACTATCTATATATGACTATATATATATATATATATATATATATATATATATATATATATATACTCGTATATATATATATATATATATATATATATAATGATTTAGTAGATATATATATATATATATATATATATATATATGTATGAAATAACTCACACTATAAGACGTCTAACCCCAGAACTTAAATTAATATCTACAGGAAAAGCTATTGCCCCTTCTTGTTGTGCTCGTAACATCACTGCAACATTTGAATCATCAAAAGGCATTGTTGCAGTCAGCATAATAAATAATACACAGCCAATAGACCACGAATCATACATCGTTGGATTATAAGAAATACCCTAAAAAATAAAAAAAACTGAGTTGAATCATTTTCATAATAAAAGTTTAACACCTGATACAAGTCTAGTACTTTGTTTAAATATTTGTTAACTAAAATATTGTATTTACCTGTAAAATTTCTGGTGCAGCATATGCAGCAGAACCACAGAAAGTATCACTTAATAACCGATGCCCTTCTACAGATCTAACTCGTCGAGCAAATCCAAAATCAGATATCTATTAATTGGTTAGTAATGAAATAAATTTCCAACATGATAAACCAAATAATAACAAACCTTGATGTAGTCTAATGTGTGAAGCAAGATGTTCTCACATTTTAGATCACGATGTGCAATATCTAAAGAATGAAGATAAGCAACAGCTGAAAGTATCTGCCTAGGAAAAAGATTGATGTTAAGATATAAACATAATGATAAAATGTTATTTTTATATAAATTTACCTAAACAAATGTCTGGTTTTGTTTTCACAAAAAGCACCATATGATCGTATGTGCTCCAACAGATCACCATGAGCACAATAATCCATAAATATAAGGACACTAGGCCCAATGTCAATGACATCAAGTACAGATACAATATGAGGATGTGATAGTGATCGAGCTATGCTATAATTGCAGTAACATTAAAATTTATCTGATGCTTAAGTCACATCCAAAAATTCATTGATTTTTAATAAAGATTTTTTACCTAAGTTCTCTGGGTAGAAATTTGTTAACAAAATCTGGAGAGGCTCGTTTTTTCTCTATAATTTTACATGCCACTTTCTTATTATTTGATATTGCAATTTTAACTTTACAATAAGATCCTTCACCAATTCCTTTACCTAATATATAACCCAGCTTGTAAAGCTCTGAATGGATCTGAAGAAAGATGATATATAAAGTTTAAGTGATCTATAAACTCATTAAAAAAAATTACTATTATTTTTAAATATGCTTTATTTGATTCAGTATTATAAAGCATTAAAATATTTACCAGCCCTAAAACTATTTGAGATAAAATACCTGATCAATGGATCTTTGTTTAGATTTGTACGTAAGCATCATTGTCAATAAAAGTAATGATAAATTTAATTTAAAAATATTTAAATAATTATTTACAACAAATTTTTCAATAAACTGTACAACTAATTTAAAAAAAATTAAAATTTGACTATATTACATGATATAATTTATTACTGTCTTAAATAGACATAGTACACTTTTGTTTTATAAACAAAATCAATCAATGAGAAAAATTTGATGATACAAGTTAATTATACTCTCTTAATTTCTTCATATTTTTTTAAAATATGAAATTTGAAGCAAAATATAGTTGGATGTGATACGAGGCAAAAACTCAAATACCCATCAATAATAATCAAAGAAATCCATGTCCATCAGTATCTTTTTTGGATAAAGCAGAATATTGTATTCTTAGTAGTGGATGAAATCTTAAAGAATTAATTATTAATGAGTGACTATAAATCAGTTTGAGTATTGTTATACAACTCATCTCAAGTTAATATATCCCAAGTATTTTACAAATTTTATTTAATTTAGTAAATTGAAAGTGCGCCTTACAACAATAATACATAATTAGAGTACAAAGACACTTATATTTACTTTAACTCTTCTTAAGAAGGGGATTATAAACAACAACATCTCTTCCATCCATTTCTTGCTGCTCATACATCCATTTACGAAAGACTCTATATCAAATAAAAACCATAATCAATGGCATAATACATAAATAAACTACTTTAAAACAACACATTATCTTAAAAAGTTTGAAAAAAAATAAAAAATCTCACATTAGTAAAAAAATAATTAACCACCTTATATATATAAATATATCTAGACACAAGGGAATATTATAAGATTTTAGACATTAATTTTATGTAAATAAAAGTTAGTCTCGACATACCTACAGTCTGGTCCACATTTGGGAGATTTACATTTTGGACATTCCATGTGGCAACCAGGACAGTCTTGATCAAAACAATCACAAATATCAAGACCTGAATCAATATGAATACCTTCTGAATCATATACAGCTTTTCGCCTGAAGAGTGATATAATTCAATAATTAGCGGACCAATAGAAACCAATATAAATATCAAAATTTACACCTACGTGTTATAAACTTTTCGAGATAATTTTCGTTTTTCTCGAGTGCTTTTCTCTGGATCCCAATTTTCTAAAAACTTTGTATCCTTGTCTCTTAGCTTTTTTAAAATATAGTCACCCATTTTAAAAAAAATCGGCTCTTTTATAGTGATTGTTCAATTTATTAAATCGTTAAATTAAATATTTAAAAGTTAATTTAAATGACCATGGTCATCCTAGACTTAGAAAATAAAATAATTGTCTGCACCCTAGACAACTTTCATTTCATACAAAATGAATAGGGAACGGGCAAGCTCACTTCTAGCGGATTGACTTGACGACCAACAAATATGGCGGATGACACATTTATGAGTTGAATTTGCAGTCAACTAATATTTGTTTTAATGTAAAACGTACATTTTTAGGTTAGACATTTGCTGTAATTCATATTTCTTACATATTCTTTTCAATTTTTTATATAAAATTTTTTCTATGACATATTTAAAGACTTTGCTATTTTAAAGTATATATTCATATCAAATATGTTTTAAATTTCCATTTGAATTTCGCGCTTTAAATTGCACAAGTGGCCACAGACTTTTTGACACATGTTGCTAAGTTCAGTCGCCTCAATTGTCAAAGAAATTTTCAACATGTGCCATGTGCTAGCGTTAATTAAGACTTTTTAATTAAATCTTTGATTAGTTTTAATTAATTTATGCATCAAAACGTGTAATTAATTTAGTAGATCAATTTGATATAATAAATTTATCGTAAAACGTTAATTAAAAGCCAAAAAATGGGTATGTTTGGAAGTGCCTAGGTGTACCTTGAATAGTTTGATAAGTATCTCTTTCAGGGTCTCCTTTTTGAGACAGTTTTATAATTAAACAATGTATTTACAGTGCCAATGTATCCTTTAATTATATACTTGAGTAGTACCTTGTATAGTATACTACCTTGAATAGTTTGATAAGTATCTCTTTCAGGGTCTCCATTTTGAATCAGTTTTATAATTAAACCATGTATTTACAGTGCCAATGTATCCTTTAATTATATACATGCAATTATCAATAGTATAATTTATATATGTGCTTTTGTAGGTTACATTTAAGTACTTCCAACACATATCTGTTATTATCGAATTCTAAATTCACGAAAGTCTTTAATATAAGTCGTGTGTCGTGTATTGTGTAAAGACTTTACTCGGACTATTGCAACAGGTCAAATATACTTATAAAAAAGTAAAGTAATGTAGTGGTTCTAAAGTAGTGATTTTGTGTTGACTACTTGAGATTTCTGGTAGATGCTCCAGAGGTGGTTCGAGTAATGACTTAGTGTTTTGGGAGCTGCTGCAGAGGATATCTAACAATGTAAGTGTAAAGCATGTTTTATACATAGCGAGTCAAAGAATATTTTTCTGGAATTATATACAGATATTTATCGTATTATATCTGTTGCACCTATATTGTTTTAAATATTCAATATTTAACTTATATATGTATATTGATTGTTTTTTTTCCGAACAGTAACACTAATAATAAAAAACAATTTGTTTTTTGAAGATGTTTAATAACGACGTTTTGGAACTAGATACGTTCCATCATCAGGTTTATTCTGTCAAAGACTATGTTTTTTTTAACTATTGACTAACATTAATTAATGATGGTTATTACATATTATTTAGAAAAATTATAAAGAAATGGATTATGTACCAGTCTAAAGAGTAAAAAATGTATCCAAAAAAGGTTTTATATGAAATTGAGAAGCAAAAATTATTTATCTGTAATAATTTATATATCCATATCACTAATATTTCGTTAAAAACACTCGTTTTTTTTTTTTTGAGATTATTTGTAAATTTTGAATTTAAAGCAGTCAAATGATTTTGAAAATCTTTACTTCAACACAATATTGTTTGTCATCTTTAGTGAAACTATAATTTCAATTTCAAAATAAAAAGATATTACTTATAATTTATTTTCTGAAAGGAGTTTACAATTATTGACCGAGTTTGTATTACATGCTACCTTTTATGTTTGTAACAATAATATTTCTTATTTTGTATATATTTTAGTGGAATATTTTCTGGCTCGTGCATTATTAATATAATTATACATATATCTGCTGAAAATATTGTTTATATCATAATATTTGAGTCAATATCATTTTTTACTTAGTATACTTATATAATCTATTTTTTGTTTTTTCAACAACAACTATTATGCGAATAAAAGATTTTAAATTAATTTGGCAGACATATGTGTAAAAGACTTAAGTTCTTATTTAATTTGTTATGGGGAAAACATGTTGATTCAGTCTTTTTTTTATTTATTCATACAAGTGCCTTTTATACATGTTCTAAATCAATATTAAACAATAAAGTTTGTACTTCACGTATGTATCAAAGATATTGAAAGTTACATTATTATTATTCCATAAAGAGTCAATCTGAAATTTTTTTGTTCTATAATAACACTATGAGCTTACTTTGTGTTGAATTCAGAATTTTTATATAGTAAATTTCTATTACTAAATTATTAGTTAACCAATACAGCTTTTTGTATGCATCGATTACTTATTTGTTGAAGGGGTCCTAGCACTTCACCTTAGGTAACTCCTAAATTGATGGTATTTTGTTACAAATTACAAATTACAAATTACAAATTTACTTTGTTGCTTTTCTATTACACCTCTTGTTTATTATTCCACGGAAACAATTTTTAAATTGCATTTTCAGTATCAAGAATCATGTGTTTTCCCTGTAGCGATATTGACAGCATGTACATTTTTATTTATGGATAACACGATTGCTGGTTTTGATCAAAATATTTCCAATACTCAATATGACTTACCAAATTGTTGAATAATGCAGGTTTTAAAAGTTTTTCATCATAATTTTATTTTAAATTTATTCAATTATATTGCTGCATAGCTAAATGATAGATTTTTATTCTTTTATTGATAAAAACAATTTTGATCAAGACATGCAATCAAAGTTTCGAAGAGTTGACTTGAATGATTAGACAAAACATAATTTTGTTAACAAGTTTATTATTCGATTCAAATTGTAAAAATTATTTAACTCAATTTCTAAAGGATAGCAATCAGCTTTAAACAGTTTTGAAGTTTTTAATGCTCCAGTTTTTGAACATTTTTGTTTATTTCATTTTACAAGTTTTATTGAATTTCTTTGATGGCTTTTTCCAATAATTTGTTTATTATTCAAGTCAACCACACTTGTTTTTGTCTCGATTAATTGCAAAGGTTTCACATGTTTTATCAAGTCATATAAATAATTTTGATTCGATTAATATCATTTCATTTCATTTCATTGATTAATTAAATAATTCTCTCGAATAATTTTTTTTTTTTTCAAGTCCAAATTTTCTGATTATAATTCTTTCGAATAATTTTTTTTTTTCTAAGTGCTTTCAGATATTTTTTTTTCTAAGTCCAAATTTTCTGATTATAATTCTTTCGAATAATTTTTTTTTTTTCGAAGTCCTTTCAGATAATTTTTTTTTCTAAGTCCAAATTTTCTGAAACCTTTTCAATTAAGACAGACGAGTTATTTATGCATGCTGTATTATCCCAAAGCCAACATTCGAATGAATGAGGCTCACATTGAATATTTCACGACGAGAAAATTTTATTGGGGCAAAGTTAAAAATTTTAACTAAGTCCCAGTAATTTTTTCTCGTTGTGAAAATTTCAACGTGGACTTCATTTCATTCGAGTGTTGGTTTTGGGAATTGGTGTGAGGGAACACTAAAAAACATAAAAAAGTTTCAACGCTGAACAGAAAAGAGAAAAATTGATCTGGGACTTAGGGGGGTTTTTTTTAGGTCCTCCACCTCCCCTTCTCCCTCCTCCTCCTCCTTTTTCCCTTTTTTTTCCCCTTTTTTCGCTTTTTTTTCACATTTTTTTCCTTTTTTGTTGTTGTTTTTTTCGCATGTTGTCATTTTTGGGTAGATTTTCGGGTTTGGCATGGATCTTCCGCAATGTGTCCCTCTGCGTGTGACCTGTCGCATCATGAACCTCAGGTTGACCATCACTTTGTGTGTTCGTTTCAGGACCCACCGCGCCTGCCAACAGCCAGTCACCAGCACTGCTCCATTTTTTCTGCTTCAGAGTTCGTCGTCGTTGCCTGCAGTTGGGCTCGATCCGTCTTACCTTGTGCCTCCAGAGTGATTTCACCGAGTATGCGGTCTCTTAAACCACTCGGCTATATGAGTTATTGATGATAAAAGTTATTTTTATTCCTATATTGTATTAATATTGAATTTAAATAAAGAATATGTATCATACACATCTCTCTTATTCATCATCTGCCTCTACCCCTCTCTTTCCCGTGGTTCTTCCTGTACCATCGTCATCTCTCGCTTTATGTACCTCTCTTACAGTCAAGTGCGAAGCTTGAGTTTTTCAGAAATATTCTAAGTGTCAAGGTCGAAATGCGACACCTGAATTTAATATTTTGAACTAATATTTGATAACTATGAAAAACTATACATTCTATTTTTTGTGCCTCTTCTGGAATCGAACCGAGACACGCTGAGCAACCGTAGTGGTCACTTAACGATCTCGGCCAATTGGTTCTACAAAACCGTAGTCTTTTTTAAAAATATAAAGTGTTATTTTCAAACTGAAAGATATAAGTTTCCTAAAAATGTTGTATGCCAAATGTGCGAATGGCCGAGGTCGTAAAGATACGGTTTAGGCCAGAATAACAATTCGAGGTTCCCCAGTTCGAACCTCATTTATATAAAAAAAAAATGAATTCAATAATTTTTCTAACTGTGTAAATAAATAAGATATATTGATAAATAATTAAATTTATTGAGTGTCAGTAGTACAAAAATCGACATAATATATATGCATATATAATATATATATATAATATATATATATATATATATATAAATGTATGTGTATGTGTATATATATATATATATACATATATAAATATATATATATATATATATATGTATATACATGTATATTGTTTTGCAATGGCACACGCCCTGAAGCTCATCAATCAGGATAATTTCGTCCATTTCATCAAAAAGACTTTGTTCAATTAGTTGTCGATTATATTTTCCTTCTACTATAGGGGAGACCCAGGTTGTAAAGTTCTTTTTAAGACATTCTTATAAGTCATAAGCACCTGTAATAAGAATAAATTTTCTTCTGAGGATATACGTCATAAATAGTATTATATGTTACTTAATACTAGATTAGTAACATTAAATATGTGTAAGTACAGCCGAATAATAAATCATTTTTATTAATCTAATAATTTGATATCATTTATCTATATTGAGTCCATAAATAGTAGTTTAAACAAAAGCGTGAATATCAGTCTATGGTTTTAATATGGTTTATAATTTATTAATCTGAATTTTATATATTTTTTTACTAATATGCCTGGAAAAACATTTTAAAGTTATTTGACAAAATATAAAAAAAAATATCCAAAATCAATTATAGCCAATTATTAAACTCAATTTTAGTAAATTTTATCTAGGTTTTACTAATGTAAATAAATTTAAGTGCACATATTTAAAATTCTCTAGTTTATACTAAAATAAACAAATGAAAGTGTCCCGAATAAAATTTTCAAAATACTTGACAAAATGTGAAAAAAATTCCTACAACCAAATATTGAAAATTAGGAAAATATTAAGGTCAGCGTTTCGACTAGAACAAAATTTCCAAGTTATTCGATAAGACCTCACATATTGATACTTATTCGCATTTCAACTACAAATTATTCAAATTGTTGATATCCAAGTGTATAAAACAATTTATACTAAATACTAGTTAATTTTACCAAGTTTATACAAAAATAAACAAATGAGTGTGTCCGGTACAAAATTTCTAAGTTATTTACAAACTGTAAAAAATATAAATGTAAATGTCGCATATTGCAAATTACTAAAAATTAATCAAAATATGCAAAAGTATTTCAAATTTAGTAAAATGTATTTAATAAAAACATGAATAGAACAGCTGTTAGCTTGCTAAAATCATTGTTCTTCTTTTGACTAACATTTTAATGTATATCGAGTTACTGTAGAAGTATCAAATCTTAACAAAATATAGATAATTTAATTTTGTGCAAACTTCCTAAATATTTCATTAACATTGGACAAACAAATGATTTGTATTTTATCAATTACATTATATAATTGATTTAGTTAGAAATGGCACTTATGATTCAAAAGAAAAAACATTACTTACAAAGAGCATATATATTTTTTGACCCATTTGTGATGTAGATATTGAATTATTAATAACAACTGTACTTATATTAACTATTATTGGTATAAAAATCAATACACTAATATTTGTTTTCAAAGAAAACATTCAAAAACTTATTTCCTTGTATACATTTTGTGCACACTTTTTGTTTGAGCAATGAAAAAAGTATTTTCCTCTTTTGAAATATTTCTTATTTTGAATAGTTTTAAAAAAGTAAGAAAAAATTAACTAAACCTGAGCTATTCACTTAATTATTAGACATTTCTTTAATTCATTAACATTTTTAAAACACATTTGAAAATAAACCTGTCACAACAGACACTTTTAACCTGAAAACAACTGTCAACAAAATTTTGACGTTTGAGTTTGACATTTCTACAATATAATTCAATTCTGACGTTTAAAGTAACAAATTCATGTATTAAAAATTGAAAATGTATTTAACAAATATTTGTTTAGAATTATGCCCAACACTTTTCACACTTAACTTTAAATCTATTTAAATTTATGATATGGATATATATTATTACACAATGAACTTTTCAACCAAGTCTCAGACAACAGACTGTTGGTTTATTTTAAAAATATTTACAACCGAAATTAAACATAGAGCATAGAATAAAATGACAACGAGCACCACAGAGCAAAACAGAACTGAAAAGTGACATGTCGTATGTCGAACAAGTTCCTGTTCCTACGCATTTCGACCTGACTGAGTCATCCCCTCTATTACACGCATAGTCCCTATGGCGGTGTAATATTTATCCATTTTATAAAACATTCATTTATACCATCGTCATTTATTTGTTACTGGATCTGTGAAATAATAAGTGGCTAGAGCGCATTAATAGTAGGCAATAAGATGTCGTCGACCGACTTTTATATCCGTTATTACATCGGACACAAAGGAAAATTCGGCCACGAATTTCTTGAATTTGAGTTTAGACCGGACGGAAAACTGCGTTATGCGAACAATTCCAATTACAAAAATGATACAATGATTCGAAAAGAAGCTTATGTCAGGAACTGCGTGATGGAAGAGCTGAAAAGAATAATACATGATTCTGAAATAATGCAGGAAGACGATTCTCAATGGCCTCAACCTGATCGTGTAGGAAGACAAGAACTTGAAATTGTCATTGGTGATGAACACATATCCTTCACTACTTCTAAGACTGGATCATTAGTAGATGTTAATCAATCAAGAGATCCAGAAGGACTAAGATGCTTTTATTATTTAGTACAAGATTTGAAATGTTTAGTATTTTCATTAATTGGTCTTCATTTTAAAATCAAACCAATATAATTTATTAACTAAGAATAAAACAATATTTACTGTAAACAATTGGATAAGAATAAATTGTATTGAATAAAGTATTTCATTAAACTTATTTTCAAGTTCTACTTTATCATCTCACTTCAATTTCGATAATAGCACATTAGTTCTGTTAGCTTTTAAACATTTTTGGTTCAAATACACTTCATAAGTAATAATACATCAATATTGCTTTATAAATGACCTAAAAATAAATTAGTTCCTTTTTTTTTATTACATTTAACTAGAACATTAGGATATTTGTATGACTCAAATTGTAGTGTCTTAAATAAAACAAAAAAATCCTCTTAACAATATATTTGCACCAATATGTGCTATAACACAAATAATATAGCATTAAATCGAATTTAAAAGTTAAACAACTCGCAATTTTACTGAAGAATATTGACTAGCTTAATATTATGAATTACAATTTCGATCTCAATATATACAGCACTTTGGCACAACCAAACATATTAATGTAACTAAGATATATTAAATATTACTAAAAATTAAGTACAGAAAATAATAATTTGAATTTTTCTAATTTATGATAAGGAATGTTTTTTTACAGTGATATGAAAAGCTAGATTCTGTTGATAATATGTACATAATACTTTATACTAATAAAATTACCAATCTAAGTTGTTAAATAAATTAAAATAAATATTTGAATACTTAGAGCTCATACAAATGCAATTTATCATGACTTATGGAAACATTCTGAGTGTGTAACATATTGCTTATGTTCAGCTTTAACTGAAATAAAGAAATACACAAAATACTTGTAGAGCAGTATAAAAGTTTACACTGTAGAAAAATATACTTGTATTCGCTTTAACATATATTTTGCTGATGTATACGTATATAAATACACATACATACACACACACATATGTTTGTGTTCGATAACTTTTTTCTGTTCATTCAATATCATTAACATAAATATTAACTTGTTACAACATTATTTCATTATTTTATTTCAAATTTATTGTGCTACCTCAGATGTAATTTTTAATAATAAACTTAACTTATTTTATTGACTAGAATCTGGATTCTGTAAAACAACTAAATTTAATGTAGGTTCCCTAAATTATATTTTCGATGTGTCTAGAAAGACTTAAATGACTGCTCTAGAACTTGCACAAGCTTACCTATAAACCATTTTTTTTTATTTTCTATTTATTAAGATTTATTTCTATTTGAATGGAATTATTTTCATTTGCCAGCAAATTTCATTCATAAGCTTTATTTATTGACCAAATTAAAATAAATTTAAGACACTTATTAAGTTTACTTTTTTATCATTTTGTAACCTTTAAGTGGTATAAAAATAAATTGGTTGGTTTTAAATTTTGAGGGAATTATATTATATATATATATATATATATATATATATAAATATATTAGGGTGGTCCTTAATATGGGCATTTTCGAATTTCCTTGCTCCCAAGGGCTAAAATGGTTCCAAATTGATAAAAAACAATTCTCAGAAAGTTTTAGCTCTTAATACTAACTTTTAGATAGTGCGCAATTCAATTAAACTTTGTATGAAAATATCATGAAAAAATTTTTGAAAATTAAAAAAAAATTTTTTTAGGTATAACATAGCGACAAATTTTGAATAAAACTTATTCATTTGTTTGCTAAATTATATCTAAAAGCATTTTTAAAATTTTTGAAATTTTTTTCATGCTATTTACATACAAAATTTGGATTGAATTGTGCACTATCTAAAAGTTAAAAAACTTTCAGGGAATTGTTTTTTTGTCAATTTGGAACCATTTGAGTCCTTGAGAGCAAGAAAATTCGAAAATGCCCATATTAAGGACCACTCTAATATATATATATATATATATAAGTTTTTTTAATAAAACTTTCTAAAAATTTAATTATTTAGGCAATATCTTGATTATACTATTATTGTTCTGAACATTACTAAATTTTCAATATAATGTAATTTAAAACCAAAATTTAATCTATTTTAAAAACCCAATGATAATGTTTTCCCCAATTCATCTTTATAATAGTATCATATATTATCATTTAAAATTAAAAATCATGATACTTATCACATTATATGCCAATAGATTTCTAAGATTGCTTCAAAAAACGCTCTCCGCTGATCGGGATAAATGCACAGGATGTGAAGGACTTCTAGCTAACCGTTTCTTTGGTAATTTTTCTAATGTGTTTAGTAGTTGTGTGAAATCTGGTCTGTTTCCACAATGATAAGACCAACAATGCATCAAGATATCCTAAAGTAAAGATATAACATTAGATTTTAAATCTATAAAAAAAACAGTATTGTAAACTATGATTTTCAAATTATGGCTATAATGAATTTTAAAATTGAGTTCAATTTATTGTAAATACCAAACCAATGTAACAAAAATTTATAGCTTCAGTCAACAGTAAATTACCATACCTTAACATCACGTGATGCTTGTAAATTGGCTAAGGTTTGTTTCATTCCTCGGCCAACTTGCCATATTATTGCTTCTGGTGGTTGTCCCTTGAACGGCCACTCCCCACACAATAATTCATACCATACAGTTCTAGAATAATTAGTATGAGTTATGATTTTGCTCTTGTCTAAAACAAAATCAGCATATTTAAAATTACCCGAATGCATAAACATCTGAAGCCTGCGTAAAAGGAAGTTCCTTCTCATGACATTTTTGATGTGCTCTTAAACTACGTATCACTTCAGGGGCTAAATAACACAACCAACCAGTCGGTATTCCTAAACTGTCATTTTTGCTAAAAAAACATTTTTAATTAATATTTATGAAACAATGCATTTAATTTCAAGTATAATGTATTACCTATTTCCATAACAAAGTTTAGTAACACTGAATAGGCCAAAGTCTGTGATCACAACTTTACCATTTTCCAAAAATATATTCTTACTCTTCAAATCCTTATGTACAATACCTCGAGCATGTAAATATCCCATTCCCTACAAGCAGAAAATAAAATAAAGTTTCTATAATAGATATTCAACACAAGAACAATATAAGTTATAAATGCCATTTTGCCTTAAGAAAAGTTATATAATATACAAAGATAAAAAAATAATAATGATATTTACCTGGGCTATCTGTTGTGCAACCAGTGTAGTTCTATTCATGTTAAATTTATCTTTACGCAAGTGTATGTGTGTGTAAAGTGTCATGCCTTTGCACAAGGCAGTTACAATCGCCAAATGAGGAGGCTTCATGCAGGCACCCATAAATAGCACAACATTTTCATGTCGAGTTTTGCGGAACGTTGAAACCTAGAAATAATATAAATAAATATTTCCATAATAATAAATCAATAGCAAATAAATTTTTCAAAATTTCACCTCTAATTTGAATGCATCCAAAGATTTTTTTTCATTCACATAATCAATTGTTGTATCAAGCACTTTGATAGCTACATCACCGTGCCAATTTCCTCTGTGAACGGTTCCAAATCTACCTTTACCAATAACATCAGACAGATGCAGTTCGTCATAAGGTATATCCCATTCTCGCATAGAAAGCTGTGTGAAAATTTACACAAATTAATTAAACTAAATATCTTTCTATAGTATAACAATATTTTTGTCAGATTGTATTAACTCTATTCTAAAAACAAATATGTTACTAACGCTATTTTGCCTAGGCCATCTTAATTCTCCGGCATTAGTTTCTCCGTCAACACTATCTACTCGTACGGGGG